CCCATGAGCGGGAAAGTTTACCTGCTACCCTTTTTTTTGTGGGCCCCACTGCTGATAAAGGTTTGAAAAAAAAAAGGGTTAAATCCTCGATTCAGTCCCTCAACTTTCATTTTTGAACTAAATTTCTTTTTTTTTTTCTTTTTTCTTTCCTTTCCTTTTTTTTTCTCCTTCTCTTTCCTTTTCTCCTTCCCCTCCCTATTGGGTTCGAAGGAACCCAGCACCAGTGCCTGGGTTCCTTCGAAGGATTTCAAGACAGCCATCAATGCCCAGCTTACTAAATAGTGAATAAAAGTAAGAAATACTGGGAACTGGAACCCAACATTTTTAAGAACCTGCACAAACAAAAAGGATCAAGCTATGCAATTACCACTAGAGAGCTGTCAAATGTAAAGCCAGTAGTAGCACCTACATAATATGGTACAAAGAACGAACCCATTTGTTCATGAAAATAATACCAACAGTAACCATAAAATTGAATGTGAGAGTTGAAACAGGATCCCAAATTCTTTGCTTTTGAGTTTTTGCGCTTTCAGATGGACGGAATTTGTTAAATATAGAAGCTCGCAAATCTTCCAAAGCTCTTCCTGAATGTTTAAAGATGTTATTCCCTCCAGCATCCAAGAGATGCACATGCACTCATACTTGGTTTCAAATAGATAAACTAGATAAGAAAAATTTAAGGTAGACTCTAACTCTACTGGAAAAAGTTTAACCACTCCACTAAACAGAACCCAAAAGATGGCACTCAAAACTCAAGCTTCTTAGTGTTGAAACCCAAGTTGGGTTGATAATGATTATGCAAAAAGCTTTAATCTTGAGTCTCAGAAATGAAACTCCAGACGAGGGAGGGTAGCCCTTTGCTAGTTGCTAACATATTATGCTTGGATCTGAGCTGAAGAAAAGGCAAGTAGACAGACATTTATATAAAACTCAGAATCACTGATTAAGAACATACAATTCAAGAGAAGGAAGGGTCATGCAAGGCCTAAATCCATACCCAAAAAAAGTGAATAGTAGTAAAATCAACACAATATCTAAAATAAGGGGATGGAATTTGAAAAATTAGCGAACTTTGATTTCCCCATAAGAAAAGGAGTGAGTGAGTAGCTAATTGCAGTGATGGAACAAGGTAAATCATGAAATCTTGAAAATTTGTAACAGGGAAAAGGAAGAAATTGCAGGAGAAGATACTGAAAATCTGGTTGCATATAGGGATGATTACCTCTTTGGCCCGCATCACTGTCCTTGCGTTTCAGTATCTTCCTCACATCTTTCCTATCTTCCTCGAACCCAGGCTTGGGTTCCTCGAACCCAGGTGCTGGGTTCCATCGAACCCAGGCTTGGGTTCCTCGAACCTAGGCGTGCTGGGTTCGCCTGGTTCCCTGAACCCAGGCGTGCTGGATTCGCCTGGTTCCCTGAACCCAGGCCCTGGGTTCCTTCGAAGGAACCCAGCACCTGGGTTTGAGGAACCCGCGCCTGGGTTCGAGGAACCCAGGCGCTGGTGCTGTGTTCCTTCAAACACAGTAGGGAGCGGAAGGAGAAAAGGAAAGAGAAGGAGAAAAAAAAAGGAAAGGAAAGAAAAAAGAAAAAAATGAAAAATTTATTTATTAAATTATATTTTTAGTGCCAATCACAATATTTTGAAGTTCGAGAGTAAATTTAGTTCAAAAATGAAAGTTGAGGGACTGAATCGAGGATTTAACCCTTTTTTTTTCAAACCTTTATCAGCGGTGGGGCCCACAAAAAAAAAGGGTAGCAGGTAAACTTTCCCGCTCATGGGGTTCCAAGTTGGCATGCCAAGTTGTCAAAAAAGTCTGAGTTGGCG